CTCCTCAGAGCCACACCCTCTCTTCCCTGGGTCACACCCTCCCTCCTATGGGCATAACACACACTCTTGATGGCCACACCTTCCCATCTCAGAGCCACACCCTCATTCCTCTGAGCCACACCTTTCTAAACCCCAACAATCCTAAAATTGCAGTTGTTTGCAGTTTGTGTTCCAGGGTCGTATATAATGGAAAACATCGGCTTCCTTCAACCACCGGCACAACATGCTGCAGTGACCCCAGAGGAGCCCTCTGGGGTCACTGCAGCATGTCCAGGGGCACTCCCTACATTTGGCAACCCTTACTTTCATCCCAGAGATGCAAACAGGCTTAAAGATGCTCAAGTTGGCTGAAAACAGGACTGCATGCCTCAGATATATCTGCAAAACACTTACTGCTTTTTTACAAATAAACATATTGTCATTAATAAGAATATTATGACTACATCTACAGAGAGTAAATCCAAAATTTATTTCACATATTAAAATCTGTTATAAAGTGTATTTTAAACACACACACAAATTATTCAGCAAACACAACTCCTAGAAACACAACATTCCTGCCAATCACTAGGGACATCTGAACATCACCTGGTGAGCTCTGCTTTGCATAGTATTTCAGTAAGCTCAATCAGTCTAGGCTGAGCTACTGTTCCCTGCATTTCTCAAGTCTCAGAGCAGCATGAAACATCCTGTACAGATTTTGTTAAATTCAGTGTTACAGAAAAACAACTTGCAACTAATATCTAATTCTCTCCTATTAGGAAACTAATAAGTTCAGTTAACAGTCACATGTGACAGAATAGGAGCCTGCAGTTCTAGTCCTCAACAACCAGAGAACCTTCATTGTAGTGCAAGGTCCAGGCTGTCTCCAGCGAGGCTGAGGGCGCACTCCGAGGAGTGCTAAGACACTGCTGTCCTCATCCTGTCTCAGTCCTGGAGCTCCTGCTAGTGAGGGGTGTCTCCTTGAGGTACAGAGGGGTGGGCTGACATGCAGACAGAACTGATCTCCTGCGTCTCTAAGTGGACTCTTGGGGCCGACTGTGTAGCTGCAGTGTAGAGCTGTCAGTCCAATTTGCCCATCATCTCAGGGGAAGGTGCTCCTTGCTGCTCTGAAGTCCATTTCCATGCACCTGTGTGGGAGATGGCACAGGTCCTTCCTGCGCAGCCTGGGGCTTTCTCTGTGCAGCTTGAGGCTACCTGCGCAACCACAGCCAACCATTGACCATACAGGCGGAGAGCAGCAGGGAGAAGAGCAGCAGTTCGGTGCGTCTGTGCTCCACATTCTGCCTCTCCAGGCCAGCCAGACGGTGGCTTATCTTACTGATCTGCAAAACATTAAGAGACAGGACTACTGCCCACTGCCCCACAATACAGAGACAAGACTACAG